CCCTGGAAGGATGGTGGTTTCATTTTGCTAAACTTATGGGTGAGAGCAATTATGTCCCCATCATTAACATTCACATTCTGTTCCGGCTGTACCGGAGGAGGAGGTGGGGGCTGTTGATTCTGTTGTTGATCTAGTCTTTCAGTTATTAGTTCCATCATTCTTTCTAGTCTTGCCATTCTTTCCTTAGAGGATGAGGATTCAGATTCATTTGCAGTTCTTGCATTATCTATTTCACTATAGGCAGTTATAACAGTTATCAACATAGGCAGTCATTTGTTTAAATAGATTAACACATTAGCATATATTCAGTCATGTCATAGCCACACACTTATCATGCTCATGTAATGCCCTAATCGCTTTTCTAGGACATCCTATAGCTCATTGGGACACGTGTGTGCGGTATAACTTGTGGTAAGTATCGCTCTGATACCACTCTGTCACGACCCAAACCCACCCCTATGGGTTTAGTACCGTAACCGACCAGTAATCCGAGATTACCGAAGGCCTGCTTAACAGTAGAACAGTAATACAGAGTACAGGGGCTGGCGGAAGCCAATACAGTAAGTAAACAATGTCCAATGAGCTGTGAGTCTATATGCAAAAAGATTTTTCCTACACATATACATGAACAGTACAGAGCAGTATGTACATATATACAATCATTCAGTTCAGGGACCTAATCCCTATTAAACAGTACAGTAACAGTCTATACAGTTATACAAAATAGATACAGAGAAAGACGAGAAAATTAAAACACCCCTAAGCCATAACTTGACAGGCTCGGAACCTCGCAGTGAGGCACAGTGGTTGGCTTGACAAAACTGGAGTTTAACCCCGACGCTTCTAGCCGCGGTCTGGTGCCTGTACACCTACATATATATATGAGCAGTGAGCTAAAGCCTAGTGAATAACCTAATGCGAAAATAGGTTAAGAATGAATGTCCTTACAGTAATGAAAATAGTTCGTTAATTCAGTATATCAGTCATTCAGTCATATGTGGTACATCCATTAGCATAACAGTACAGTAAACAGTAGGTCTTAAAAGACCGAACAGTAAATGATGGCCATCAATCAGTAAACAGTAGTGGTTCCAACAAGGGAACCGATAGAGATCTCTGTAACAGTAACAGTAAACAATAGTTGCTAAGGATGCCACAGTACAGTTCAGAATATAGGACATACATTTATTCAATTAACAGTATCAATTCAGAAAGCAGTACAGTTCAATTGTTCAGAAGATAATCATTTTGAACATATCTTTACACAGTTGTTACTCAAAGAGTTCTGGCCTATAGTAAAGCTAGAGCACGTCCCCAGTCGCCAACCCTACACAGTAACAGATTGAACACACACTAAGCTACATAGTTGGGAAAGATAATAGCTTAATCCCTAATTTGCCTCGGTGTGTTCTACATCTATATCCTCATTAAGATGTCTTAAAGTAGGCCTAAGAATGGCTCGGATGAAATGAGAATGCAAAGGTGCACTCAGAAAACATTTTCAGAATTTTCAGAAAACAGGGGTCACGCTCGAGCGTAGGTTTCTTCGCTCGAGCGGACATGCAGACAAAGGTTTCCGCTCGAGCGTACACTTACCCACTCGAGCGTTCTGTAAAACAGTCAAAAGTGCTGGAAAGGTGAAAATCACGCTCGATTTGGGTGCTCGACACCCGCTCGAGCATGAGAACACAATGTCCCGCTCGAGCGTCAATTATTCCGCTTGAGCGGACTTCAAAACAGTGCAAAGTACTAGGAGCACGAATTTCACGCTCGAGCGCCAGTCACCCGCTCGAGCGTGAGTTCAAAATTTAGAATTCCCAGATTTGAACCTCAAGCTCAAATTCAACTTTTAAAACATAAATTTCGATCCTCTTAGGCTAGTTTGCTAGAAAACACTTCAAAACTCATAGTTTAACATGATTCAAAGCTCAATTGTAAAATCAAAGCCCAAGGGTGTTTCAAACGACTCAATTTCAAACCAAAACTCAAGAACATAACTTCAATTGAACATGCATGAGTTTAAACCAATTCAAAGCTTCCAATACTTGCTTTAATGAGCCAATTCCTTCAAAACCAATATGAGTTCATGGTTCAATGCAAAAATATAAACATGCATGTACCAAATTCCATGTATTCAACCTCAAAATGTTAGGATATAAGCATGCATGTATGGAATGAACTTCAATTCAACAATTTAAAGTTAATTCATGCCCTTAATCTCTAAACTTCCATAGACCATGCAACATATGACTTGATTACATGAACAAGAAGGTACAATCTCTACCTTAAGTCTTGAATCAAAGGCAAGGAGGCTCAATTATGCAATCTCTCTTCACTTCCTTCAAATCTCCAAACTAAAATTGATGAATTCAAGTTGAAAACACTATTTCCCTCTCACTCTCTCACTCTAGTCGGCTATGCTCTCAAAATGGCTGAGGAAGAGTTGTGTAATGCAAGACTAAGCCTTAGACAAAGTTTGGTGTAGTGGCCCACTCAAATAGCAAAGTTGTAATTAAAGCCAAAATATGTAATTTATCAATATTGATCCAATTTAATCATACCAAATTAGTTTTCAAACAAACACACCATAAATTCGCATAAATTCTATTGATCATAAAACACTAATCGATTTCGGGTTCGGCCGCCGATAAGGCCTTCAATTTGCAATTTAACCATAAAAACATAAAAAAAATAATCAAACAGTCAAACAGATAGATAATGCATTTAAACAGATACAGTCAATTAATCAGTTTCAGATTTCAGTCAGTCAGTTCAGTATTTCAATCAGTTCGATTACTTTTCATAATCAATCTCAGTTTAGTAGTAATCGGTAGTTTATCAGTAAACAGTGGCGAGAGTCGTTACAACTCGACCCGTGAGGCGGCGAAAATCTGTTTTAAGGAAACTGTTACTGTGCAGGTTTCGGTTTGTTTTTTTACCATTTTATTGTATTGTGTAATTCTATTGTAATTTAGTTATAATTCTTAGTATGTGTTCTTAGTATATAATTTTAATTTATTCGTGAATCTATTTATTTAATTTCACAATTTGGAAAAAAATTTGATCATCATTTGTCTCTAAATTATTGAACACGGTTGAGTTGGCTTCTTCTACTCCTAATATTTTCGATTATATTATCAGTTTGGAAAACCAAGTAAAAAATGATGATTCGAGATTACTTAATAATTACCTCACCTTGAAATAACAATGTATAAATTTAATCCTAATTTAGACTACATTCACCTTATTTGGTTTAACTCTATTTTTAGAAAATTGAATTTTTTATTTTCGTATTTTTTAATTTTTTAATATTTTATGTAAATTATTTTTTAGATACACTTAAAAAGTATAATATTTTTGAAAAAAGATTTCATAAAATTCATAAAATACAAAAAATATAAAAAAAAATAAAAAAATTTAATACATTTTCGTATATTATCGTATTTAATGAATTTTTTAAAGATTTTTTATACAAAGATTTATACTTTTCAAGTATATCAAGATTAAGTGTATCTAAAAATTAAAATAATTAAAATATTTTTTAAAAAATTATTAAAAATACAAAATATAAATTGCAAACTCAAAAAACTATTTTTGGAAAATTCCAAACCAAACAGGGTGATTGATTTTTATTTTATAGCTTGTGAAAGCGAGTTCAAAGTAATTTAAATAAATTAATTAGCACATGTTGAATGGAGAAAAAGAATTCCTATAATCAGTCCCATTTAATAAGGCTTAAAATTTGATTTAATTTGATTTGATTTGGTTATGTAAAATTTAAATTAATTGTGTTCCTTCATGGGAGCATCATGACTTTTTATTCAAGTTTGGTCCTTTTGTTTTCTTAACCTTATTCTGATTAAAATTATATATATATATATATATATATATCTATTTATTATAAGAAGCTCTTCCACTTAGGAAACTGTGTCAGCGCGGGTTGTTTTTTTGCATCTCCTGCCGAAATTATCCCTATGTTGCTATGGACAATTTGATCACTCATTAGATTTGTTGGTAAATTCACTTCTTCTTTGTTTAGCCACCTTTCGGCATACTGTAAGGCATGATTACATTTGAATGAAATTACTTTCTTAACCTTTTTACTTTGAGAATATTACAACTCCAACTTTGTTGTGTTATTGTAATTTTTGAAGTTTTGGAGGGTGTTTATAAAATTTGATTAGCTTTAGTTTTATAGAATGTGCAATTTTTTCCTTCTACGTTACAAGTGATTGTCCTTGTAAAACAAGGGGAGTCGGTGCACACATGAGATTTGTCCTTGTCGTATTTTAGTTAAATTGACATTAGATAGTTGATTCTAAAATCGGCGGAGGACAAATTTGGAAAATTTACTTGTTAACCAAAAAAAGTTATTGTCGTTTTGTAAAACAACAAAATTACAAATTCATTCTTATCAATTCAGAATTTGCCAAGAAAAATAAATCAATGACTCAAATTTATTTCATATATGCACTCCCACACTTCATTAATTCAATCTCCACTATATAAACACATTTGGGATAAATTCTTGATCCATAAGGGTGCGTTCCTAACATTTTTTCTCTTGAAAAATAATGTTATAAACTTTTTTATCAGTATAACACTGTTTTTTTAGTTTCAATTGTGTTATTATCAATGTTTATGGTCCTAATGAGGTGGGGCTTTGAAAAGAGTTGTGGAATCTTTTAGTTTGATTGAAATCCAAATTTCTAGGACCATGGTGCTTGGGGGGTGATTTTAATGAAATAAAGATTATCTCAGAATGAATTGGGTGTTCTAGAAGGGATAGAGGGATGGAAGATTTCAATGACATGATTGAACAACTTGAGCTGATCGATATGCCTATGCTTGGGACGAAGTTTACTTGGTGTAATTCCCAAGATAGGGCGAAATGGAGTAGACTGGATAGATTTTTACTCAATCATGAGTGGGTACAGAATTTTAACTTTAAACTTTGAGGCCTACCTAGATTGTTATCTGATCACAGTCCTATTATATTAATGGAGGATGATAGGGATTGGGGACCTAAACCTTTTACGTTCCTCAATGCTTGGTTACTTCATCCTAATTTCCTATCCTTTGTACAACACAGTTGGTCTGGGCTTGTAGTGGAGGTTTGGGCAGGGTTTAAGTGCTTCATGAAATTTAAAGCCCTGAAGTAAGCCTTAAAACAGTGGAATGTGAAGGTATTTGGGAAGGTGGAAAATAAGCTTAAGTGTATTGAAGAAGAAGCTCATGCCCTTGATTTGCTTGCTGAGGACAGACCTTTGCTACCTACAGAAATACTTAGAAGAAAGGAAATTAGGGGAGATGTTTGGAGGCTTAGTAAAATGTTGGAATGGATTTGGTTGCAGAAATCTAGAGTGAATTGGGCACTTAAAGGGGATAAAAATACAAGATATTTTCACATTATGGCTTGTAGCAGGAATAGTAGGAATTCTTTGTGCTTCGTCGTTGTGAATGGTACAATGCTGGAGGACCCTATGGAAATTAAAGCTGAGGTGAAGGCCCACTTTCTAAAGCATTTCTCTGAGGATTGGAAGGTCAGACCTAAATTTTTTGGGCACTTCAAGACCATTGGAGGACCACAAGTTGTTGAACAATTGGAGGCAGAGTTTACTGAAGAGGAAATTAGTTCTGTAATCAAGACTTGCAATGGGAATAAGGCACTTGGACCTGATGGATTCAACATGGCCTTTTTCAAGAAATGTTGGAAAATTGTGAAATTTGATGTGTTACATTTTATGAGGGAATTTCATCAAAATGCAAGTTTGGTGGGTGGGATCATTAGCTCTTTCATTGTTTTAATTCCTAAAAATGATAGTCCCTCTTGTTTGGAAGAGTACAGGCTTATTAGTCTGATTGGTTCTATGTATAAAATTCTAGCAAAGGTGTTATCAAATAGGATGAAACAGGTGATGCCCAAGATTATTAGTGAGGTTCAGTCAGCTTTTCTGGGTGGGCGGAACATTATGGATGAGATTCTTATAGCTAATGAGATTGTTGATGGATGGAAAAGATCCAATAAGAAAGGTTTGGTTCTCAAATTAGATTTTGAAAAGGCTTATGACTCAATCAATTAGGAGTTTCTCTTCAACATGCTCTCAAACTTTGGCTTCGGAGCTAGATGGGTGAGTTGGATGAAAGCTTGTGTATCATTTGCTAAGATTTCTATTTTGGTTAATGGGTCACCAACGCCTGAATTTTGCCCACAAAGGGGCCTTCGTCAAGGTGATCCATTGTCACCGTTTTTATTCAACATTGTAGCGGAGGGTCTCAATATATTATTGAGTAGGGCAAAAGAGTTAAACTTAATCAATGGGGTAGAGGTGGGGTCCAATGGCTTAAGTGTAACTCATTTACAATTTGCGGATGACACTATTTTGTTTTGTGAAGCTAAGAAGGAGGAAGGTTGTAATATCAAAAGAATTTTAAGATGCTTTGAGATGGCTTCGGGGCTGAAAATAAACTACCTCAAGAGTGTCATTTGTGGTGTTGGGGTTGATGATGGACTATTGCAAGAGTTTGCCTTTAATCTAAACTGCCTCTATCAAAAGCTACCTATAATGTATTTAGGTTTGCCATTGGGGGTCAACCCAAGTAGGAGAAGTACTTGGAAACCTGTTCTTGTCAAACTTAAGCAGAAATTGGCTAATTGGAAGAGAAGACTACTTTCTTTTCCCGGGAGGTTAACTCTAATCATGTCAGTTTTGTCCAATTTACCGGTTTACTATTTATCATTGTTCAAGATTCCTGTTGGGGTGGCTAAGGAGATTGAGAAAATACAATCGGCTTTCTTGTGGAGTGGATCAGACCTCAGAAGAAAAGTGCATTTAGTCCGTTGGGAGGTAATTGCAAAGAATAAGAATCTAGGTGGTTTGGGGATGAGGAGGATTAAAACATTCAATGACTGCTTGTTGTTAAAATGGTGGTGGAGGTTTGGAGCTGAGAATCACACACTCTGGAAAGAAGTGATATGCGCAAAATATAATTTTCAATATGGGCAATGGTTGCCAACTTTGGTATGTAGAGGTTCTAAGATCTGGACTGATATAATTAATGTAGCTTTGTTGAATCCAGACTTGCATAATTTCTATATTCATAATTCTTAGATAGCTTTGGGGGATGGGAGTAGAGTTCACTTCTGGTTGGACAAGTGGATTGGTAACGTGTGTTTAAAGAAGGTATTCCTTAGACTCTTCTCTCTATCTAATAATAAGCATGGGGTGGTAAGGGTGTTTTTTGAGAATAGGGGTGTAGCTGATGATTGGAACCTTGAGTTTAGAAGAACTTTGCTGGCTTGGGAGGAGGAGGAAGTACGTAGATTAGCCTGTTTGCTCAGAAGTGCACCAGATCTTTGTAATGAAAAATCAAATGTATTGAAATGGGTAGCAGAGTCATCTGGACTGTTTAGTGTAGCATCAGCATATAAATGGAGTGCATCCCTTCTTGGTCCGGTTATGGCAATGGCAGGCTCCATATGGAATAATTTTGCCCCTCCTAAAGTACAATATGTTAGATGGTTAGCGTGGCTTGGTAAGGTCAAAACTTCCTGGTTTTTTCACAGAATTGGTATACTTGATGGGGGTGTCAATCCTGAATGTGTGTTTTGCCATAATGATGTTGAAACCATGGAGCATATTCTTCTTGTATGTCTTTTTGTTTGGAGGCTTTGGTCAAACATTGTGCGATGGTGGGTTTTTAATGGGTCATGCCAGGTTCTGTAGATGGACTGCTGCAATGGTGGTATGGGTGTAGTATGTCAAAATTGGAGAAGAAAATCTGGATGGTCATTCCTATGGCATCTCTTTGGTCTATCTGGAGGCATAGAAATGAGTGTGCTTTCAATGGACTACAACCAGATTTTGAAGCTCTATGCGACATTGTGAAAGTTCGAGTAGCTTTGTGGACTAACGCATCGCCACTACAGGTGGCAGCTTCTGTAAATGATCTGGTGTACAACTTGTAGCAGGTCAAGTTCTGCCTGAGGAGTGGTGGTTGAGTGTGTATCTGTTATGGGTATTTATCTGGTTGAGTCTTGTTTGTTCTGCATTAGAAAAAGCTGCTGTCTGCTCTGGTGTCTTAGCTGTAGTGTATCAGTTGTTTGCTCTGCTGTCTGTTCTGTTATGCTTGTTGCTGCTCTGTTGCCTGGTTCAGCTACTAGCAGAATTGGTTGAGATGAGCTACTGGCTTTCTACTTCTGCAGATATGGTGTGGGTATGCATCAAGTTGGTGGATGCAGATATGATATGGTATGAGGCTACTTCTGAGTTTGAGGCTACTAGTTGGTTTTCTACTAGTTTTATGACTCAGCTGCTAGCATCTGTTGTGCTGCTGTGATGAATTTGGGTGTCTTGATTGTGGTTGCTGTGATGATGTCTAGTATGGGTTGGGTGTTTTGTCTCAGATATGGGCTATGCTCCAAGATGGTGGCTGCATCAAGATAGTGGATGCCTTCTTACAAGGTAGTTTGTCAGAGCTCTTCATCAGGTGATGCTAGTTTGTTTTCTGTGGAACACACTTTGAGGGGAGTATACAGGTGATGTTTACAGGGGAGTCACATAGAGGGGAGTCTATTTGTTTTTTGGTTGTTTGGTTCTATTTGTTTTTTTTGGTGTTTCTGTTGGTCTCTCACTAACCTTGGGGTGCTAGCAAATGATAGAATGAGCATTGTGGTGCCAACCTAGTTGGGATCATTTAGCTTATTGTGATGCTTTTGCACTTCCCTTTCCTTTAATGATGTAATTTGCCTTGTGTCTTGTACTAGTTTATTTCATCAATAAAGTTTCTTTTTTGCCGATCAAAAAAAAAATGTAATAATTTTAAGAAAGTACAAATATATTGTGATTTTCCCTATAAATAATGCTGCATATACTATTTTAACATTAAATTTAATATTAAATATTATGTATTATGTGATATTGTTTAAATGGTACTCTCCATTAGTAAGAAATCACAATACGCTTAGTGAGTCATTATTTATTTCTTAGTTACTTAACAAATGTGAATTAGCATGTTTTTGTAAAATTTTTCATTACATGATTACGCTAAAAGGATGTGTATTATTACAAATGTCACAATTAAGTTACTTTTAGTTATAACTATAAAAAAAATATAATGTGTCATATTCAAACATCACATAAGGTATAATTAAAGATATTCGACAACAACCAAAATAATAATCATAATAGGTCATAATCAAAGACATGGGATGTTGTGCGGTCCATTGGGCCCTTGTCTCAAGTCTATTTAGATGATAAAAACGGTTTATATTTTAAGGTTCGTTAACCATATTGTTCATGTAAAAAATTAAGTTAATGATACATGTGTAACCCATGATCAAATCCTAACTGTTTTAAAATAAATTATCAAAATTAAGTGATTTTGAAAAATAAATGTGATTTTGTTTTAAAGTTGCGGATAATCAATTGATCTAATTTTTTTCATGGATAATCTACTTAAAAAATCTTAAAATATGAACAGTTCAGATCAATGACATGAGCTCTGGACAAGTGCCCAATGGGCCACACAACGTGATGTCTCCCTGATTCCCATAAAAGATATCACAATAAATTATAACAAACACCATAATAAGTTATAACTAAATAACTCAAATGTCATAATTAGAATATATGATAGACACTCTGTAAAATTAACCCTAGACAATAATTGACATGTGATATTTGTACAAAAACATAAAGCACAAGTGATCAATTTAGTTAACTTAATTAACGTATATATTTTTCAATGATTTTCTAATTTGAATATTCAATCAGACTATATGGATATATATCTATATCTATAGATAACTCTTATATGTTACATAATTGACCGAGAATATTTGCGTAATTATGAAAAAATCTTTACTCAACATATAGGTTACCATTAATAAATTATTCAAAATAAAATGAAAAAATCAGAAAGAAAAGATGAACCAAAAGCAACTAAGCGATTCTTATATATATATATACTAGCGGTAACCCGTGCTATGCACGGGCAAGTAACAAAAAATAGTAAATAATGTTGAACATGCTAAAAATTAACAATTAAATACTATGATATTAATTTAGATGGGTATTGAAATAATATATTTAGTGATCTTACTATATTCAATTAAGTGAATTTTAGAAGAAAAAAAAGTTCAACTGAAAATTAAGAGTAACAGTGAATTCTGTAAATATAAGATAAAGATAAAAACAAATTAAGTTTAAATTTGAAGATAAACTATAAAAATATAAATAAATAAATAAAAAATAAAATTAGATAAATCCTAGAAAAATGAGGTGGAGAGAAATTCAGTAATTGAAAAAAAAAAACAAAGTTGAAATTTAAAAATTAAAGAATAAGATAAGATAAACTTGAAAAGAAAAATAAAATCTAATATAACTCTAATAACAGAAGAACCGGAGAGGGTAATACTTAAAAAATTAGATAAGAGCCACTTATAATTTTTTAAAATTTGTAAAAAAAACTAAAATTACATTGAGGTAGTATGTTAAAAATTAGATAAGATTTAAGTGCCACTTATAATTTTTTAAAAATTAAATTTTGTGTAATTAAAAAATAAGCGATTATGTTATCTTATTATACAAATTTTAACTCTATTTTGTGTCTACTACCTATAATTTTAATCAAATTTTGAACTCTAAAGCTACTTAATTAAAATAAAAAAGAATAAAAAATTATAAGAATATAGAAAGTGAAAATTAGATAAAAAAAAGAATAAACTTAATTGAAAATCAAGAGTAAGAATCAATCCTGTAAATATAAGATAAAGATTACAAAAAAAAAATAAATAAATAAATAAAGTGTAAATTTGAAGATAAATTATAAGAATATAGAAAGAGAAACTTAGATAAATTGTAAAAGTAAAAGAGAGCAAAAAACACAATTTGAGATTTAAAACATGTGCTTCTTTTCACATAAGATGCCAAAAATCTTGCATAATTGGTTAAATCATCTGTTTAATTTCTCTACAATGTTATTTTTGTTCTCCAATCTTTTTGCCTAATTTCATATTGTCATGGAAGTTAGGTTTTGAGATTTATAATTTTTTTTTTCTACAAATATCCTTGGGTAAGACATAAATTGATGAATAAATTTGAATTAGAGTCAAACTCATCTTTTACCTTTAAATATTTTGAAAATCTTTTATATCCATGCCATAAGTAATTAAAAAGTGAAATAAAAAATATAAAAAAGGTAAGAAAAAATAAGAAAATAGAATGACAGAAAAATGGATGTGTAACCTAGGAAAGAGACTCATGAGATGTTAGGATTGAGAGTTTAGAATTTTTTAAGAGACCATTACATTTGCTGATATATATAGTATAGATACACACTAGTTTATGATGCCAGTAACACCTAGTTTTGAACTCTCAACCCAAGCATTGCCCTCCAATTGGTTTTTATAATTTTTAAATTCACAGCTCAAAATTAAAATTTGAAGAAAAAGTTGTCTTAAGCTCTGTCAGGCATTTTAAATCATAGATAGTGATAGTTCCAGGTCTGAAGATTTTTATACATAGTCTACACTCGACTTAAAAAATGTCAAAATCGAAACACGGTCAACTTGATATTTAGTCATTGCTAAACCTTCCAATACATATTTTGCAGACAACATGCTGGTGAATGGTGGGTTTGAAGTGCGCCCAGCGTTTCTAAGGAATTCATCCGAGGGGATTCTACTACATGAAGAGCCAGATTCACTGCAATCTCCATTGCAACAGTGGTCTATTATAGGAACTGTTAAAGTACACAGACTCTAAACACTAATCAGTGCCAAAAGGAAAAGCGGCAATAGAGCTAGTTTCCATGGGGGCTCCACCAGGAATTTTTATTATCCCAGCCCTCACAAAGGGTTCAACATACAACTTAGAGTTCATGGTAGGCGATGGTAATGACTCGTGTGTGGGAGATTTAATAGTGTATGCTCAAATAGGAACGTCTATGGAAAATTTTACAATGCGAAGCAATGGCACTGGCTCAGCACAAAAGCAGTTTATCACCTTTAAGGCAGACTCCAGCGCAACTCCAACCAGTTGTGTAAGCTATAATGAGCGCCAAACAAGTGACAATGTGTTCTGTGGCCCTGTGATGGACAATGTCATCCTTCGCTCTTCTTATGCATTGCAACAAAAACTGCAACTTGGTATTTCATTTTCAAGCTTGGTTTCACCATAGCAATTTTATGGATGGGTGCTTAGTTTTGGTTGGTTCTTCTCACTGTTCCAACACTTCTATTGATTTTTGAAGGAAAAATTAATGAATAAATTCAATATTTGTATTGTTAAAATAACCTCATGTGGTTGATGATAAAAGATATGAGTGTTCTTTAAGAGCTCCATGAGTTGGGGTCCTTTTTGACTACCATTTTCATCAATGTTGAGCCCAAAAGCCAATAAACAACAATATTGCAACTCAAAGCCAATATTGCACAATGGAAGCCAACATCTTATTATTCATATATGCAAGTAAGTCAACCTAACGTAAATCCAACCAAAGCCTTATGTCCCAATCAATTATGGCTATATAAATCATTTTTCAATTTTTTTGCTACATCATATTAGTTCATAAGGGAACTTACGGGAATTTTTACATGCTTTTTTGATCGGCAAAACGAAATATTTATTGATGAAACATCCAAAGTATGAAAAAATTACATCAATAAAAAGGAACTTGGAGCTAAGCAAAAGCTCCAAGCGCCAGTTGGTAAGAAACCAACAACAGAGAGCAAAAGAGAAGAGAACCAGGTATAAAACCAGACAAAGCCTTGGATCTAAGACCCAAGCAGATAACAGTCCAGCTAAAGCCAAGCACTGAGAGTGAACCTGGTGAGCACCAACAAAACCCCACTTTGATAGGCTAAGTTGGCACTAAACAACTGAACCAATGGAACCCCTGCAAAGTTAGACCACCACCGTAGACATAGCCTTCCCGAACAATTCAACAGAATCATAAAGCAACCTTCCCAGGCCAAAAACCTCCCACAGGCACACACCTTCAGCCTGCAACAAAGCAGCAGAACATCACATACACCCAGCAGTAAAATACAACATATAACAAGATACCAACCCAGCATACCACCCCAGCAGATTAACAATACACCAAACCAACCCAGCAAAGCATACAGCACACAGCAGGACAATACACAATAATACCCAAGCATGCCAATCGGCTCTATGCAATTATAGCAGACCCTCCCTCCCAAGCACTCCCGCATTTGCCTCAAGTTAAACACAAAATCCTGAACTGAAAAATTACAATCACTGAAAACTGGTTTTAACCAAAAAGCAATCCTATATTTAATTAAATCACAAAGATCCACCAAGTTGGGGGGTATTGATCTAAACACACACTCATTCCTGCACTTCCAAACAGACCACATCACAGCCAATGGAATCACCCTCCAGATCTTCCTTTCTTTCTTTTTTAACTTCTCCCCTGCCAACCACAGCAGTAGACTCTCCACAGATTCTGGAATAGCAGCTTGGACATCCCACCAATCCAGCATTTCAGTCCAAACCCTCCACACAAAGGGACACCAAATTAATACATGATTTACTGTTTCATTAGCACTACCACAAAACACACAAGCTACAGAAGCAATTGGGTTGGTCACCCCCACTTTTTGCAGAAATTCCTTGGACTTAAGTCTTTTTTTCCATGCAAACCAACCAAAGACCTGCACCTTAGGAGGGATATAGTTAAGCCAAATTAAGTTGGTAATACTCATGGTGGCACCCGTATTAACCACACCCCCCTATATAAATCTGCAACTGTTAGTACCCCAACTGATGAAGCTGCCCATGTAGGCTGATCAACACATTCTGGACACACTGCAGGAGCCCCCTGCAGATAATCAAGAAGCCAAGCCAACTCCTGCTCCTCCCACACATACCCTTCTAAACTCAAAGGACCAGCCACCCACCATGTTTTTCTTATCAGATAAACTTCTTAAAGATTCATTTTTATCCAAAGACAACCTATACAAGATTGGAAATTCATCCTTCAAACAAACAGGCTGACACCAAATATCAGACCAGAATCTGATCCTCCACCCATCCCCAACCTTTAACTTAAAATTATTCAAATAAAATTCCTTGAGACTACTACACTATTTGGCTATAGAAATAATTCCTTTCCATACTGCCGAGTGACTACTAGAGGAAAATAGACTCGGAATCCACCCATCAACCTCCAACTTATATCTGCTACGAATTACTCTCTTCCACAAAGCATCCTTTTCACTACCAAACCTCCACCACCGTTTAATCAACAAACACTTATTCACATCCCTACTTAACTCACAATCCTTCTCCTTTATCTAGGTTTGGGACCGGCTATATAAAAGATTAAATGCTAAACATGACATAGGCAGAGTTCAAGTCAACAAAATGACCTAGGCTAGACCTTAAAATATATCCACTACTTTAAACAGCAGAACACAAGTATTTTCTGTTTTCCTAGTCGAATACAAAATAAATAATCAACTTGTCATTCATATAGGTTGATCAGTGCGAATAGCAAAGAATTCTTACCATCCACAAGAGTAATTTCTCCAGAATTCTGACAAATTGATCAATACTTTTTCAAGAAAAACTATTCAATATTCAGGAACAATTTCAAAAAACGAGTCAATACCTAGCATTAGCAACAAATGCTCTTGCTAAGCAAAATTGCTGTAAAAGAGTTATAAAAGAGGAAAACGCAGGCTCGCACATCAAATGATTCATCATCAATCAATCGAACCAAACAAAAGCTTATTCGTCTTGAAGATGATCACCCAAAACATATGCATACATACATATATATATATATATATATATTAGTTTACAATGGCCCGTATTATTACAGTACTAGCGTATGCCCGTGCCTGAAGGCACGGTATAAATAATATTGGTACACATATTTTAAAAAAATCAATTAACATAAATTATTAATATTGGTATCATACATCTTTTACAAAAAAACCAATTCAAAATGATAATAATTTCACTGTTATAGAAATCAATTATAATAAATCAGTTTAAGATATCATACAATGGCGATTTGTTTAAGTTAAAATATAATTTATCAAATTCATTAGTAAAAGTTTAAATTAAAATATTAATTTGTATTTGAAATTTTTATTAAACTTTTTATAGAATTTCACCATCTAAAAAAGTATAGTATTTAAAATACCCATTCTCTCTGTCTCTCTCTCTCTGTGTGTGTAACGTCTCCCTTTCTCATTTCCTCCTCTCATCCTCTCTCATCTCTTAACAAACACTACATCTCCTCTCAAAGCTCAAATAACAAACCCTTTATTTCCTTTGTTCGATCTTCCTCTCTCTATATTTTTTTTCACTCTATTTTATCTTAAATTTGTGATTTGATTTTGTTAAATAAAAAAAAAATCAACATCCATTTCAAAAACTTTGTTCAAAACCATAAAAAATCAACAATCATTTTCCATTAAGAAATTAAATCTATTTCATAAATACAACTGAAAATAAAAATATATTTCTAAAATCAAAACCTATTTTATAAAGATCAACCATTATTTCAAACCTAAAACTTTTTAAAAAATTAAATCCAAATCCATAAGCTACATTAAAAATAAAAAAAAATAAAAAAAAATCTATATAAATAAAAGAACAAACAGAACAGAGACATAAAAAAAAAAATCAATTTAATGGTTAAAAACACATAAAAAAGTAATCTGGAATTGGATTCTTGTACATGTTCTTATGATATCAAATTTAGAAATGCAAACAACAAACAATCCAGAACAACATGCATACGCTAGTATATACATATAATAGAAACAAAAGAACGGAGTAATAGAGGGGAGACCATGCCCCCGCATTTCTCATGTGCAACCTATTGCTCAACAAACAAACACTTATCACAGAGGAACTACGGATATGGTCGATTAATATGTAAATTATGAGATACATTCCATTGTTCCTCAATCTTTTTCTCCATCCTAAAATGGGAATTTTGAATAAAAAGAAAGTGCATTCCTACATGATTTTTAAACAAAAATGTCACAAATACTATGCACCGGTAATAACCAAACATGGACAGTCCTTGAAGCTAATTTTATAGGAAGGTCACTGATTCACATCTTCATGCAAGCTGTTGTTAAACTGTCAGCAACTCCTGAAAGACAAACAATCCTAATCCATCTAACAATAAGCAAAAAACCAGGAAAACAATTCTCCAGTTTTGGAACACAAAAGATGCAAATTATAGGATCCCACATACAATTGATCATGTGTGTAGAATGTACTAAGTAAGATTCCTGGAGAAAAAAAAAAATAAATAAATAAATAAGAAGAAGGAGGAAGATTCCCATATGAAATAGACTGGTTAAAGATTCTAATAAAAAACATGAAAAGTGCTCAAAACTGAAAATGACGAATGAAGAATGAAAATCTAGAGAGCAGGTATGTCAGTGTGAATATATATATATATATATATGCATAGATAAACAGAGTACCCTATATTCTCAAACAATTAATTTATGAAGATAAGTAGACTAAGATATCAAGACTTTCTTTAAATAAAATTAAATAAAACGAAATAAAAACAAAATAAAATTGGTAATATAGGGCTTACAGAGGATGATAATTCCAGCAACCCATTTGCCAGTTCTTTCTCGGATTGCCGGTTCGCCTTGCAAATCAACACTTCCATCAAGAGTATACTCTTCTTCTTCTCCCTTGAACTTACCCTAAAATCCCAACAACATTTTTTTTTAAAAAAAATAGAGGAAAAAAATTAAATTAGACAGTTTAATTTCAATTCTTCTTTCCTTTCCCTTACATCCCTTTTGCCTTTTTTTGCCCCACCATTTCCTCCGATTTCTTTTCTCTTTTTGGGGGGTTTTGAGAAAGAAAACCTAGAAAAATCAAACTGAGAAACCACAATTATTTCCCAAAATCAACCGGGCAAAATAGAAAAGAAAAGAAAAAAAATGTGTCAGTTTAAATTCATAATTGTTAGGTTTTTTTTTCTTGGCAATCCCGTTTGACAAAACTCCTTTGAGTTGTACTTTTATTCGCATTTTTAGTTCAGTGAGGCTATGAGTTGTTAGATGCGAATCCAACCCGAATCAAGCATTTCAGAGAAGTTTGTGATGATAAAGCTTTCAAGATTGCCACTTCGCTGATTATGACGGGGATCGAGCTCCAACAATGTTTGAATTTAATCCCAACACTATTTAAATTTAAATTTAAATTTAACACTATTTAAATTTAGATTTAATCCCAACACTATTTAAATTTAAATTTAATCCCAACACTATTTGAATTTAATCCCAACACTATTTAAATTTAATCCCAAGATGTAGATTCCTCTATAATATTGTTCATTTGGTAAAGAACAATCAACTAACTGCCAACACAATACAATCATTACAGTCACAAACATATTTATAAATAAAAAAAATTAAAAAATAAAAAGCATAGATCAGTTGGGAAGAGTCAAACACAACTGTCACCCCAATCCATTTTGATAGCAGCAGCAGCAACAAGCTCATGGAAAAGGAAGACACTCGTCTTCACAACAACAGTTGGGATGTGATAACCACAACACCAAAACCATGTTCCCAAAATGTTTTTTGATAATAAAATCTGAAACTAACCGCATTTCCTTGTATCACATTGTTATCCCAAATTAACATTTGAAATTAACCACAACACCAAAACCAAGAATACTATACACAACTCAAAACCCTGAGAAAATTAACTCTTCTCATCATAACAAATAAATGTATAGCAATGGTAATGATTTTGTGTTGTAAACAGCGCTCTAAATTACATTGCATCATTCTGTGAAAAATTACAATAGGAAGGATACAAACTCAAGTATTACAATTTCTATCCTTCGGATAGCAAACAATCGAAATGTGGCTAGAGTGAAAGGGAGATATATTATGATGCAGCACTATTTCATGAAATATAAGGAAGCTAGTTAAATATTTTTTAATCCCAACACTGTTTCATTACAAAAATTTAATTAAATCAAAAACAGTTCACCAAACAAAGCATCAACCTTTTTACCTTTTTTCTTAAAACAAAAAGAGAAAATGAAAACAGAAACAGGCCTGTGGGATTGCAAGGCTTGCAATGGTGAGACCAGAGATGACATCAGACCTTAGAAGATTTAGACTATACTTGGGTCCCCATTGAAAAACAGGGAAGAAAAATTGAAGACCCAGAAGCAATTTAAATTTGAACATTCACGTCACCAAAGAAGATAAAATAAAAAAAAAAAACAAAAACAAAAACCTAGATTATAATAATCTAAATTCAACCAACCAAATGTGAGAATTAACATTATGATGGAATGATCGTTATTCTGTTCTATCTTCATTTTAGTGAACCAAACACTACCTTAACATCTCAAACACACGCACAAAGATGGTATTTTGATGGCTTTTTGTAACCTATCACTAATATTTATCATTCAATACACGCCTTCAAACTAACCTACACATGCTGATGCTAGTGAAGTAATAAGGAGCAAGTTTTATCACTTTAATGAAAAAGATAGAAGTGAAGCAGGTAATTATGATACTATGAAATCAACAGATCAAAATTGCGAAAACTAACCATTTTTAAAACTTCTAGGAATGGTGCTTTGATATGAGAATCGAGCTTCCAAAAGGCTATTCTGACCACACCAAACAAATAATTAATTAATTAATTAATTAAAATAAATCAAACATAGCTCTTAACAATAAATTAAGAATGAATTTCTAGTTGACTACAACTTCAAACCAGAAATTTTTTTTAAAAAAAAAAATTTAAAAAAATAATAGGAAGAGCATCTCCAATCCTTCTTAAAGAGCTAAAAAAGAGATCCAATCATTTCATCAAACTTGTATCAAATCAAAAGAATAGGACCAAATCCTTGGCCAAATTTCTAATAGTCACACACTTCAACTCAAATTTGATGAAATTATAAAAAGAGAATAGATTTCAGTGTTAAATAACAGATCAAGCTTTTAACCATATTTTCACTCAAATTTGATGAGGGGAAAAAAAAAGGATTGGATCAAGATTACAAAAACCCAATTGGAATTTCGAAAAATAACACACACACATACACAAAATATCAAAGAATTATTATTGATTTTCTTTACTGTTTGCAATCAAAAGAAAAACCAAGAACTAATGAAATTTACAGTAATACAGGAATTGAGAGAAATGAGCGTACAGATCTTTGGTTTAGCTGAATTAGGAGAAGAACCCTAAAAAATTGAAACACCCAGAAGCAAGTTAAATTTCAAGCAAAGTCTGAAATCGCAATTCAAAGCAAACTCAAAATTGCTTAACAGTAGATCAATTGAAAGAGGGGAATAGAGACAGAAATATTACCTTGCACAGATAGAAGACTCAGGTTTGGTGTAGCTCTGAAGTAGCTCTACCGGAGAGCTCCAATCGAGGTTCAGAAAGGTAGCAAGAGGCAGCGAGAGGCAGAGATCGGGTGAAGGGGGAGAGACAGCGAGTGGGAGGGTGGGGGGAGAGGGGGAAAGGCAGAGATTGGGTGAGAGAGAAGGAGAGAGGTAGCGTCTCTGCGAAAGGAGGGAGAGAGGGAGAGGCAGCGAGTGGGAGGGTTTAATATATGTATGTACATATTAACTGTTTCAATCCCAAAAGATTCTATATATTGTTGTTCTCAGTGCTTATCTATATATGGAGGTCTATCTTCTTGTTCAGAAAACCGATACAACAAAATCGGCTTGGTGAGAGAGAAGGAGAGAGGTAGCGTCTCTGCAACAGAGAAGAGATAAAGATGGAATGGGAAAGGAGACGTGGGTAGGTAGGTGGGAGAGAGCAGAGAAGGTTTGAGCGGGAATCAAATTGATCTGCACCCTTAATATATTTTTAGGATTGACCTCAGTTATTCAAATGAAGTGTATCTCTGATACATTTTATATATTTTCAAAAACTGTTCTGTCTTATTATATAGATGTTTAAATTTTATATTGTGATATTTTTTTAAAAATTAGAATATTGTTCTATAAAATTAAATAGAATAAATTATTAGATATATGATAAAATTTTGTGGTATGATATATATTATATTTTGATTTGTTATACACATAATGATGTAGACTCCAATTCTAATACCATATCATTTTGGGTGAATTTATGAAACTTTAACATTTCATCTGAATTTATAAACATAAAAAAAAAAAATTATGGTGGGTAACTTTTCTAAACACGTAAATAGAAAACAAATACAAAGAGATAATTCTCATCTTAAAAAAAAACTAAGATAATTCACTAAACTAATAAAAAAGCAGAAAAAAATACATAAATATACAAATGATTAATTTTATTAATACATAAATCATACTCACATAATAAATAACCAATTTTTATTAATAAGTAAATTAATAATTTATAATGATATGAAAAATATGTTTCAGTTAACCATCTGGTTGATAAATAAATCAATAAGTCAATTAACAATTTTTAATAATATGAGAAATATTTTTCAATAATCAATTTTGATAATTTATTATTGCATTGGAGAATTTTTTTTTAAAATATTGTGTTAAATTAAAATTTATAATAAACAATAGTTATAATTTATAATATTATAGGACCGATTCATATTTTAAACAAACCTTATGGGTATATTTGTAATTTGTCAAAAAATAAAATATTTATGTTTTATAATTGACCAAAAATATTTGCGTGATTACAAAAAACATGCTTCATAGTTGACCAAAAACCTTCACTCAACCTATAGGTCACCATTAGTAAATTATTCAAAATGAAAGGGTAAAATCGAAAAAAAAAGACGAACCTCCAGCAATTAGGGACCCACACCCTACCCATCCTTAGTACTTCGACTCTGATACCATGTTACACGGTCTTAGGTAAGGGTGCCCTCATGATTATATATTATTCATTACTTTTGTATCAAGTCAAGGTATGGGCTATTATTACAGTATGTTTAAGTTTTATATTTTAATAATTTTTTAAAAATTAGAATATTACTTTATGAAATTGAATATAATAAATTATTATATATATGATAGAATTATGTGGTATGATATGTATCATTTTTTAATTTCTTGTACACCTAATGATGTAAACTCCAATTTTATTACCATATTATTTTGGATGAATTTATGAGACTTTAATATTTTTTCCAAATTTATATTAAAAAAAAAATTATGGTGTGTAACTTTTCTCAACACAAAAATATAAAATAAATACTAAGATAATTCTCACATTAAAAAAAAAACTACTAAAATAATTCATTGAACTAATAAAGAAGTAGAACAAAATACATATATATACAAATGACTAATTTTATTAATGCATAAAGCATACCTGTATAACAAATAACCAATTTTATTAATAAGTAAATCCTTAAATTAACAATTTTTATGATAAAAAATATTTTTTAGTTAACCATTTTGCTAATAAATAAATCATTAAGTCAATTAATAGTTTTTAATGATATGACAAAAAATTTTCAATAAATAATTTTGATTATTTATTATTGCATTAGAGAACATTTTTTTCCCCTGAATATTGTGTTAAATGAAAATTTACAACAAACGATATTTATAATTTCTAGTATTATAAGACTGAATCATATTTTAAACAAACCTTATGAGTGTTTTTCTAATTTGATAAAAAAATAAAAGATTTATGTTTCATAATTGACTAAGAATGTTTGCGTAATTATTAAAAAAATCAATTTCATAATTGACTAAGAATATTTACGTATTTACAAAAAAATTTGTTTGATAATTGACCAAAAATATTTGCGTAATTACGAAAAACCCTTCACTCAATGTATAGGTTACCATTAGTAAATTATTCAAAAATAAAAGGGTAAGATTGGAAAGAAAAAATGAACGTAAAGCTGCTAAGCGATTCTTATATATATATATATATATATATGGCCCAGTTTATTTTTAGATGTAGAATAGAAGAGATTGATAGCAAAGACAGTAAGTAAAATTGTGTTTATTTCGATGATAGTTGTCAACGTGGAGATTGTTAAATTATTACCCTATAAAACAAATATAAAATATTAAAACAAACAAAATTATAATTTTTACCTAACAAAAAATACAAAAACATTAAACATTAATTTTAAAAAAAAATAGCCAACATGTATTAAAAAAAAAAAACTTAAGCCGAAGAATACCACCTCTACCTCCTATGTCTCAATCTCAATACCAAAGCCTATCCTGATTCTATAAGATTATGAATCCCTTTCCTATTTCTCAAAACAAACACAACATATAGTGAGTCCTATCTATATCTCAATCCTATTCCCAACTCAGGCATAGTTTGGGAAGTTGGTTTTGGTGGGTTAGGGGCTAAAATAGGCACAAAAAACAAAATAGGCTATTTTAGCCACAAAAAACAAAACATCAAATCCAACCCATAATCATTACACTCCTCTCACAAAAAAAGTTAAAAAAGTAAAAAAGCCAAAAAACTCCTTTTTAGTCCCAGGCTAAAAAAGCCAAAAAGCCAACCCACTTCCCAAACGGAGACTCAATCTCCCAAAACAGACTTGGCTATAGATATAGATAATGATATGATATATATGATTTCATCCGAGTTAGAAGAGAGGGATCTCTACTAGGAAAAGTCCTTGTTTGTGGAATTGTTCCTTAGGGTTTTACCTGACGAACTGGAAGATGGATGATGAATCTGGTTTTTGTTTCGAAGAGAGATCGAAGAGGATTTTGATGAAGGGTGTAAATTTGGATGTGGATGATTTGATTAAGTTGGAGTCATGTATAGAAGAGTGGTCATATACAGAGTACGTTGACGGGATTGATGAATTGCGAATTATAAGTAATTTGCAGGTGGCTTGCAAGAAGGGGGATTTGCAACGGGTGAAGAAGTTGAGTGGAACGAGTCTCCATATTGCTGCGGAGAGTGGCGAAATTGATGTAATAAATCTGATTCTCAAATATTGCCCTGAGTCTGCTGAAGAAACAAGGGAGACTTGTCTTCATGTGGCTGTCAAGCATAGGGGTGTGCGCGGTGCGGGTCGGTGCGGTTTGAGAGAAAAATAGAAACCGTATGGCAGGTGACGGATTGATAAAAGTGTCGCTAGAATTTGCCATTTTCCTTATCAAAAATCGGCGATTTGGTTGGCAAATAATGGCAGATTTGCCTTGGCGGTTCGGGCGGATTGACGGTTTATAAAAAATATAATTCAAATTACAAAACTTAAATTAAAAAGTAAAAAAAAGACGAGAGATACCGTGATGTTAAGCATTTTGCGAAGCTTTCTTCTGATGCAGCAAGTGTAACAACAACATGATAATATCAACGATTATGAAAGTGTCGCTAGAATTTGCCATTTTCCTTATCAAAAATCGGCGATTTGGTTGGCAAATAATGGCAGATTTGCCTTGGCGGTTCGGGCGGATTGACGGTTTATAAAAAATATAATTCAAATTACAAAACTTAAATTAAAGAGTAAAAAAAAGACGAGAGATACCGTGATGTTAAGCATTTTGCGAAGCTTTCTTCTGATGCAGCAAGTGTAGCAACGACAAGATAATATCAACGATTATGCCATCAGTTTATTACAAGCATCTGTGAAAGCTACAATGATCAAATACAATACATATCATTTAGGGTTTACAATATTTTGAAAATGTTTACTATTGAAAAGTATTTAGATTGAAAAGTGAGCTGATGCAAGTTTGCAACATGGCCAGAAAAAAATAAGATTGAAAAGTGAATTGGAATTCAACTTTATTTTGGATTACTGACATCTTGAATTCCCCTCGAGCAGTAATGAAATATTATATTCTAAGGTATAGAACAACAAGCAAACTTAAGTAAAAAAGAATTTTTAGAATCTTATAAAACATGATTTAATAGCGGTGCGGGTCGGTGCGGTTTGGAAGAAAAATAGAAACCGACGGATTGATAAAAGTGTCACTAGAATTTGCCAACCAAAAACCGGCAGTTCGATTGGTAAATAATAACGAATATGCCTTGGCGGTGCGGTCCGGTATGGTTTTGGCGGTTTCGGCGGTATTATGCACACCCCTAGTCAAGCATAAGTAGAGCGACATCGTTCTCCGCCGCTTGTTAAAATGGGTTATCGAAGAAAGGCCTCGCTTCATGTACTTGATTTCAAGCAACATAAAACTTCAACTTCAACTAAACAATATTATATAGCCTCTGTTTGGGAAGTAGATTGGTTTTTTAGCTTTTTGGCTTTTTGGCTATTTTAATCTGGGGTTAAAAAGTCTGGTTTGAGAAGGGCTTTTTGACTTTTTTTACTTTTTTTGTGAGAGATGAGTGTAATGATTATGGGTT